ACTGCTAAAATTATTTTAAGAGTCATATACCTTCAGTCCATGTACACTGACCTCAATGGACATTCTGCACTTGGACTGCAGTCGTCCTTTTACTTGTAACAAGCAAGTCTAAAACATCTAATCACTGGGTCACATTTTGCTTATTTTGGCTCCGTGTAAGGTACAGATTGGGACTCAGTCGGCCCAAAGAATTTGAAAGGAATAACCCCCCCCTCTTTCTCTCTCATACACAATAGAATTTTTTGAGGAAATGTTTTTTGTCAATTAACTTTACAGAAAATCCAACTGTGGAATCTTGTTTTAAAAAATGATGATTACAATACTTCAAATTTATTAAACAGCCTTTATGGGATTATTTTTTATTCCTGATTACATCATGAGTATAGATTATCAACCATTCTATTCATTTTAAAATTGTGATTTAGAGCACAATCCTAAAGAAGGTGTTTATAACAATGTTAACTACTCTGCTTTAATTAAGGGAGTAATGGGCTTAGAAATAAGATTTAAGGAGTGAGCTAGGGGGTAAAAATCAAAGCTCTCCGAGTTTTAACATTAAGTGGATTAAGTGACTGTCCAGAATCGAAGGGGGACAGATCAAAAGTCAAGATAATGGTTTCAAGTATAAAATTCACTTTCATTTGGTCCATCTGCTTGTCTCCCATGGAAATCAGTGTGGAGTATGGTGAGATGTAGCAAATACATTGGTTAAACAAGGAAAGGAAAAATTGATTTTAACATTTCAGTGGTCATAAGTAGGAAAAGGTGTGGTACATGAAGGAATAAGGAAGAAACCTACCAAAATGTAGTGCAACTATGCTCAACATCATTGCATCCACTGCTGTTCTTGTGTACAGCAGAATGGTTCTATAAGATTCAATGAGATTTATTTCATCAGTACTCTGTTGAACCCCATAATGAGCCACCTGCTTAGCGATTTTCAATGATGTTTGTGATGTGCTGGGTATCCAACACTGTGTGTATGCCTTTCTATCTTCCACTGTGTTCCCTGCACATACATTAGAGGTTAGTGCTCTTCAGCATGGCACGAACTTTGCTAGGCTGTTCCTCTTACTGTTTCTGTGGTTTTCATTGGTGATTCATTCAGTGCAATTCTTTTGCTGAAAGATTCTTTGCTCCTGGCCATTCCCCTTCTGGCAACTTTGTGTGTGTTGTCTCTCTAGGTTGTGCTGTGCTGTTCCTTAGCGTACTGGTTCTGCAAACAGGAACTTAACACTTCGGTATTTGTAACTTGTGTGAGTGGTTTACTATTTCTTTTCCTATTAGCTTATTGCAAACTTCTTTGCTTTGTGGCATGCAGCCAATAAGAGCATAAGATCTTTTGGCTGGCTTATTTATACTGGCCACTTTTGACCTCTTAATTTGTGTACTCTGAAGGCATATACAAGGAACTTACTCCTTGGACACGTATCTCCACAATTTCCCATTCTTCTCACCCTCTTTTCCTATTGTGCAGCAAAATTTAAATTTAAACAAAATGACTCAGGTCAAACACTTGCTCACTTAAATATCCGAAAACACACCAAATTCTGCTCCCATTTGCATCTGTGTAAATCTGGAGCAACTCCATGGCTTCTACTGAGTTATTTTGGATTTGCACTGGTGTAAAAGAATAGAACTGGTATCATGTACCTGGTGCAGAAGATGCAGCTAAGAGCAAAAATCTTTTTTTCCAGTCTTCATTTCACACAAACCGCTACCAGTGACATCACTGGAGAATTCTGCATAGGGAATGAATGCAGAATATGAAATAGAGATTTACACTGCAGATAGAAGAGAATTTTGCCTTAAATTTTTAATCTCTCTTACAATATATTCATAGTCAAGTTTATATAATTGATATGAAAAAGTGATGGAACTAGGCCATCTCAATGCAGATTTAGTAATAGCTGTGTTTTAAAATGTGCTGTACATGTACCGGTGGGTAACATTCCAGATATGTGGTGCCAGATCATTTGTGCTGATTCTCTACACTAATAGCTGAGAGGTGTCCTAAGCCATGAAAATCCCCAGAGCTGTTATTAGTCATGCTAGTTAGATCAGCCTTTAGGCTACTCTAATTTGGGCCAGGACAAACTGGCACCTGGAAGATTGAGATTGCAGAGGGGGAAGACACGAATGTGGTGTAAAGTTTAGGCCTGTGTTAAGCACAGCTCAGCCAAACCCAATGGTCAAGCCATGGGAAGGGGAAAAGGAGTGCAAGGTACCTACAACTAGATGATAGACAAATGTAGCCCAGGACAGAGAATAAAGTACCAGACAGTCCCAAGAAAGCAAGTTATATGTATTATCCTTGCCACTTTTGTTTCTTAAAATGTTACAACTTTGGTTTGCAAGTTAGAGCAACCTACATCAAGGCACTACACAGACTAGTCTAGATCACCCTAGGACTCACTGACATTGGTATGCCTTAGACATATGCTTTCTTTATAGCACTTTTTTGGACACAAGAATATTTTGTCTTGGCTAGGAGAATTTTCCAGGTTGCACTACATAATGATTCCAAGGGTCTGAAACACCATAGACTTCAAAGGGAGACAGAGAGAACAAGAGATGACATGGGACACAGCAACTCTTGGGGTCCGAACAGAAGAACATAAAAATGCATTTTACTTTGATCAAAGAGTCTAATGGTTCATAAAAACATGAATTTTATGTCTGTTATTTAGTAAGTGAGAGCTTAATTTGTTTAGCTCTCTTTCCTCCAAATTTAATAATTTTAATTATTTTTTAATGAAGAAAACAACCCCTCCCAACCCAAGAAATTCTTATACAGTATCAATAGAAATCCAAGTGTCATAACTTGGAATTCCCACAAAGTGTATACAAAGAAGAAAGTTAACTACATTAAGCTTGGTCAGAGATTTTCCAGAAACACCACCATATGTTTTTGGAACTTTCATATTTGTCATTTAACTGACATGTGATCTTTGCTGAGTGTGCCAAATCACTAAGGCCTGAATACCATTCAATAATGTTAATTTTGTTTTCTGATTTCCAGTTCTTAAACAATTATTTTCCTGGCAATCATTCTAGCCTTGGGTATAAATATTACTTCAAGCTCTTTGTTGATATCCAGAACATTTTGTATATTTACAGTAGGAGATTCTGGGATCTAATGGGAAAACCCTGCATATTATTAAGATGAGATGCTGATTTATTTTGTCCCACATGGGAAGAAGTACAGGGTAGTACCATGGCATATCCATTAACTGGATTCCTTCTGTAAAATTTTAGCACATTATTTTTGAAGATTTTGAACCTGTGCATCCTACCAAGCATTTAGCAGATTTAAAATGGGATTTTCTTCAAAATAAATCTCAGTCTCAACACTCAGGGTACTGGATAATCCTCAAATGGTTTTGGGAGTCTGAGGATGGGTAGGGAGATGGGAGGGATCTTGTTTGAGAAAAGAAAGGACCAGGAATGGAGGGGATTTCTAATGGGGATAGGCAGTGGAGAAGGATGAGAGATTTTTTTTCCCTCCTGCCTCTGTTTGGATACTAAAGACGTAGTATACTTGTATGGAAGTTTCTAACAACAAATGAAAGGACACATTTTAATTTGTGAGGGTTGGTGGCACATTGGAAAGTGTAGCCCCGGTATAAACCCCCCACATCTGCATGTGTCCCTGTCTCTTGGAATAATTATCTCATTAACATTAACAAATACTCCTATATTTAAGTTAGTCTCCTGTAGACTTTCTGCTAAGCCTGTAGATTTACTGCAAGTTCTGCTCCAATTTTCTTGTTTGTGTTACAATTCTAGTTCTGATCCCAGACTTTTTTTGATTCAACAACTATTTTTTCCCTCTCCAGCCCTGAACAAGAGGAAGGATACACCATATTGGAAATGATACTGTTTACAAAGGAGTGAACTATGTTAGGGCATTTCTTCCAATATTTTATGCACACAAAAAAGGACCAAATTCAAAGTCAGATCCCTTTACACTTACTTGCAGATGTTTAAGGAACTTAAGCTGCAGTCACTGACTCTTCAAGGAGCCACAAGGTAGTGTAAAGCTGGGGACTGTTCTGCTTTTATCTTTACATTCTCACACCTTTCTGTTAGTTGCTCTTGTTGCTAGACTCCTTTCTACTTGTCTCCCTGGAATGTGAGTTTAACCAGAGGCCCTAGACTCTCCTACACTCAGATGCGGTGGGCCAAATTCATAGGTGATGTGGTGGTGTAAGTTACATGTTGGTAAACGGGTGTGAGTCTGAGGGCCCGATTTTGTACTTGATACTCTAACAAACCGCCCCATTGATAATAAGAGTTAAGAATAAGGTTGCAGAATCAAGCCTTAAAGGACCATGTGTGCCTAGCTCTTACTCAGCCACAGAGTGGATGAACCCTGTCCCCCATTTAGTCAAATAAAGGCTGCTCAGACTACAACTCCATCTGCAGAATGAGAGCAGGGCTGCTACCCCTGAGCAAGGGCGGTGGTGCATGAATGAGGTGTGGGAGAAGCCTGGACTCTGTTTCCCCTCTACTTGCCAACCAGAATAGTTGGTGGGCAAACAGGGCACTTAGGTGCATCCGGAAAAGGGGTGAGGTAGTTTACTCCCTGCCAGAGCAAGGGGAGGAATGCGTCTCTCCTTCCTGCAGCTCCTGTTGGGGTGGCTCAGGGATGGGCCTGCGGTTCTAAGGAAGTAATTTGAAGTAAGTTGAAGTAGCATGCATGTTGACGGGGCTGGAAGAAAGTGCAAGTCACAAGGAATTGACTCCCCTCTCAACATGGCCCACTGCCTTCAGCAGCAGCTATGAACTGCAATACCCATTGTTAAAAGAGGAGGCCCAAAGGCCAAATGCAAAAATGCATGCCCAATTGCACACTTACATTCAATGTGTAAATTGGCCTCTCAGACATTGGTTCTATAAGCCTTATTTCAGCAATTACTGTTTCTTCAAGACACGTAGTCTCTGGAGGGATAACTTCTGTTATGTTTGAATTCCACTGTTCTTTTCCTAGCATTTCAGGGATGTAATGCAGTACAGGACATTACCACACTCCTTTCTTCTTTGGAGGATTCTCCCCTCAAGACTTCAGTGCCACAGAGGGAAGGGTAATGTTTACTAATCTTCTACTATTAACACATTTGTTAAAAAGGGATCAGAATTGATTATTTTCATCTTGACATGCAAAGAGCCACACTGTGCCCTTGGCTTGATCTCAGGGTATGAATTGACAATATCAGCAGAAGATGCAGAGGCAGCAGCTTTTTGGATATCATACATGGCAGGCACACAATGTTCTAACACAAAGAAGCTGCTCTAGCAAGGTGTACACACTATAGTCCCTATAGGAATAATACAAGAGTTTCTCATGCATTTGACATTGTATTCACATACCACGTTCAGCTCTGCACAGAATCAGCTGAACATTAGTGCAACCTATGATTTTTACTACTGTTCAGTGATCTACCCTCCGCCATGCCAAAGTTCTGGTGTGGAGGAAAGATACAAAAGGAATAATTTTAGCAAGTCAGATTACAAACCTAAATGTGAGACAAGGTGGGTGAGGTAATATCTTTTATTAGACCAACTTCTGCTGGTCAGAGAGACAAGCTTTTGAGCTACACAATGTATCATGAAAGCTTGTCTCTCTCACCAACAGAAGTTGGTCCAATAAAAGATATTATCTCACCCATCTTGTCTCTGTAATATCCTGGGACCGACACAGCTACAACACTGCATACAAACCTAAATGTAAACATTTCCTAAATTATGTCATTAGATCAGAAGCAGGAAGGATTTTAAAGAACCATCTTTAAATGTTTATGGAGCTATAAATATTGTAGAGTTAAAGTTCTTCCCTCATTTTTACTCCATTCAACCCCACTGAAGTCAATGAAATGGCATGTAATGCACTACTGGATGTAACTCAGTAGAATAGGCAAATACAAGACAGTGTTGTTTACTGTTAACATGAAAGAAAGGATTCAAGAGTCCATTGTGAACCAGAAGAGCATCAGCACTGACTCATTGTTTCTAATTATTATTATATTACTTTTTTCAAACAAACAACAAAACATCAAGCAATTGGCTCCTGGCTAGTGTCTCAACAAAGCCTCAGGACTCAAATGAGTAACCCAACAAGTAAATGGTTAGTTCAAATGAAAATTATAACAAAGACAAAAATGTCAGCCTGGAAACTGAACTAATAAGGGAAAGAATTTGCATGAAGCTGCTGGCACAATTTTAAACTTTAGTAAGAATAAAGGAGAACAGAGCTGCGGAAATCAGCTTGTGAAGCTGAGGTAAACAAAAATCCACATTCATCTTTTCTTCATGGAAAGCAAATGAATGAAGATCTCTGAACAATGATGGCTTCCAGTATGACCTTGCATGTTGAAACTTAGGCAGGGTTTACAGCCCAAAGTGAATTCAGTGAAGAATGACAGCTTAGCAATCCAGCACCAGTTCCAACCAGTCAGATGTTGCTGCTTTTTGGCTTAACTACAGGAAGAGTCAGAAGCTCATGGTTTCTGTGACAACACAGGATCAGGTGACCTGGATATGTCCTTCCAAGCTGATCTGGAGAAATAAATAGGTTGTTTGTAAACAGGATGACTAAGTATTCTCTCACAAGATTTCAAGTTCGCAAAGCATGAGGCAGCAGGGTGATGAGTCAGAGGTGAAAGGTGATAAGACATCTTGGGCCTGTTCTTCTGTAGAGCACTGGCTGCTGTTCAGACTGTTCAGATCTTGGAAACAGTCCACTGACAGGCTTCTTGCCAGGGGATTTGTTACAGAGAGAGCATGGCTTAGTCAGGATTTTACTACAAAAATTGTCTTGATTCTTTTGCTCTCTTATTAAAGACACTCTCCCTCCCCTCACCTCCCCAATTATTTTTTTAAAAATATATATCTCGATGAAACACACATACATTCATTTCCCACAGACAACATATTCAGGATGATTTGTTTTTTAGAGACAGAGGCTCAAAAACTATGAATTTATTGTGCAAAGAAATAATTGCAAATTATAGTGGCAAACTGCTTTCCAGAAAAAGAATTGGGATATTCAAATAATTGAAAGGATTGAAAAAAAGACTGGCTGCTATCTTGGGGCTACTGCGGATATTTTAGGAGGTTATATATCTCTGTTCCACCTAAACCACCAGAGGCAACATAAGATATTGTAATTAATGGACCCACCTACTGTCATTCTTGTACTGGGTGGTAAGACCTGGTGTGTATTGAAGTGCAGGAAGGGCTTCGTGTAGCAGAAGTTGATATGTCCTTTTAGAGATGTTTTTTGGCTTAGAAGTACATCAACAAATTCATTGACCCTGATCTCTGGGCCTGGCCCAGGCCCACTGAGGTGAGTGTGGGAGGTATAAAGGTGAATGTTACTTTTGTTCTCCTGTGATCCCTCAGGGCTGCTTTAATTCATGCCAGGAGTAACACCCTCAGGGGTCTGTTGTACTATGCAGGGATTGATGTAGCATTCCAGCCACACCTCCAGCATACCCCCCAATCCCCTTCACTGGCAAGACTGGGAGCTACACCATTTTTAACATAACTCAGTGATTCCCCTACTGGTTTGGCTGTTTCAGGGAGGTACATGGCCTCAATCCTGCAAAGGTGAAAGATCCCAGAGCTCGGGCTCCAACCTGAGCCCAAATGACTACACAGCGATTTTTAGCCCTGCAGCTCAAGCCTTGTAAGCCCGAGTCAGCTGATCTGGGCCAGCTGCAGGTCTTTTATCCCTGTGTAGACTTTTGTGATGCCAAAACAGCAGAGAGGGGCCTTAGCAGGTTAGAGCTCTCTGAACATACCCTTATTTGCTTTGCTGGATCTTTACATTATGGCAGGGTTGCAATCAAGGTCTTCACAAATACATACCTCTCTGCTGCTGTGGAATAATTTTCATCACTGACACATGTGCTCCATTAGGAGTACTCTAGTAGATTGAAGTCTCCAAGATAGTTGAGATTGTGGTTAATTATGGGAAAAATAAAGATATGTGCTTGTACACCCTGTAAGTAACACTCCTAGTAGTAATGCTCTAATTCATAGGCACAGCGCCATTAGAAAGGGGTAGAGCTTATTAAACTGAAGTTATGCAGTGACGTTTTCTACATATCTAGCATGGAAGAATTGTAGACTGAGCAGAAAATTGGGATTCAGGTGCTCCCAAGATCCATTCCTGGCTCGAACACAGACTCTGAAGCCTTGGCAAGTCCTCATGGCTCCATTTCCACTAGGGCAAATTTCCTAAGAATTTCCCTCCATTGCTAACACCAGTATTAGCAATTTTGAGAGCCTTGGTGTAGCTAGGATGCCAGCTGCTGTATGCATTTAAACACAATGCATCTAACCTTGCTTTGGAACATGCTTAATCTTATGTAGATAGGGGCTTACACCCATTTTACTAAGACACAGAATTTAATAATATTTCCTTCCCTCCCTCTGAGGAGTGAAGTGATTTAATATTGGTAAGATGCTTTGAAGATTAAAGTGCTACATGTTATTACAAGTGCAAAGAATGTATTTTTTTCCCTACCACCCATCTTTTCCATTCAAGTTATTTCTATCAAAGGAACTCAGTTTCACCATGGGGGGAAAAATAAAAATCACAGAAAAAGGGATGGGCAGCCTTGGTTCAGATATGTAAAACATTAATATTAAGCCAATAAATATATTTTCCTTATGGAACAATGAATTTTATTTTGATTTTTAAACAGAGCTGTGCAGAGACCATCCAGTTCACTGACTACTCCATGGAACTCAAGAACAACGGTCATTAGAAAGGATAAAGGGAAGCAATCTGTAGCCTCCTCTCTCCCCCACCCCCTGCAGTTTCTCATCTCAATAGGTACACAGGTAAACATACACCTTTTGTATGACAGCATATCTCCAAGATAATGACAAACTGTATTTCTTAGCTGCTGTTAACCTTGCTTTATTCTTAATCTTTCCAATCAGGACAGGAAAAATACCAATCTTCTCATTTAAAAAACTAAAACAAATCCTGAAGCAGAAATTAGGATACTGCAAGATTAGATCAGTCTAAATAGATGATATATATACCATATATAGAGCTGTGCCACTCATTAGGTGCATCATGGGAATGGTAAACCAAGGTCATCCCTAGGGCGGTGCGGGACCCGGTGAGGAAGTGATGAATCCATCATTTCCGGGACTGACTGCACCTGGTGCTGGCCAATTGCATCGGCAGCCACATGCCCCCCCACCCCCACCCCAAAGCGCGGGGCCCAGAGCAGTCGCCCCAATTTGCCATGCCCAAGGGATGGCTCTGGTAATCACTATCTTCTGAAGCATTGGGTGTTAGCCACTGCTGAAACTGTTTTAGCATACTTGATGGACCAATGTATTGATTTGGTATGGAAAATTCTAAGTTCCTATTATTTTTTAAGGAGAACAGAAGATCAAAGGACTATAGCACCAGTAGTGATGCTAAAATCCTAGGAGAATGCAAAATTTTTTGGGATATGTGTTTATATGGCCCCCTACCACTGTTGCCTGGGAGTGCTTCACAAACCTGAGGGAATGTTCACTGCCCAGCTTAGCAGAGCTGGCAGTGTGTGTGTGTGTGCTGTACATTGCACCCTGTTAAAGGTGCAGCAGAGGTTGCTGCACTGTGAACTCCCACAGCCTACCAGCATGCACTGTTTTCTCTTTTGCCTCTCAGTGTGGCTATGGCTTACAAAAATGATTAGAGGTACAGAGACTTCTATATGAGGAGAGACAGAGAAGATTGGGACTGCTGTTTAGAGAGGCGATCAGCCAAAGGGGAAATGATAGAAGTATACAAGATATAGTATTGAGAAGGCAAGTCTGGCTCCTATATTTGCCCGCTCAAGATGTCATTTAATGAAACAGAAAGGTAACAAATTTAAAACTGAAAACAGGAAATATACACACACAGCACAATTAACCTGTTGAACTCATTGCCACTAGATACAACTGAGATGAAGAGATTAGTAGGATTAAAAAAAAAATTAGACATTTATATGGGAAATTAAAACCACCCACAGTTACATTAGATAGGACATGACTTCTCAAACTTTGATAGAAGAGATGACATTTTAATGAAGAGTGTCATGGACCAGCATACCTCCTATTTGAGATCACACGAAGCATCTCCTCCCCCAATATGTGATGTGTACCTATCATCCCCGTGGCAAGCTAAAAAGATAGCTAAAATGTGGTATTATACTTTTGTATTACCACTATCATGCAAGCAATTTAAAAATTGTATAAATGTACAAAGGTATATACAGTATTTTAATTGTCTTTTAATTAAATTGAGTGGTTGTAAGCGAGGAGGAGCAGCACCATGTGACCAGCCCACGCTCTAAGGTCCTCAGATCACTGTTTGGGAGCCCTTTAGATAAGGTATTATATTATATACATCAGTTAGTAATTGGCCTACTCCCTGAAATATGTTTGCATCTGGAGAGAGACTCTCCAAACTAACCTAAATTTTTAGAAGTGGCCTCTATTTCTATGGACCTAGTTTTGCACCAACAATTAATTTTGGGGTGGATGGTAGCAAGTAGAGATCTATCAACCTCCCTGTGTGAGCAAACCAGTAGGTAGCTGTGCAATAGTTGTTACCATTTCGACCCCAAATTAATTACTGGTGCAAAACTGTGCCCACAAAATTAGAGGGCACTTCTGGAAATTAAGCCTGGTAAGGACAGTCTTTACCAATTGTGTTCCTGGTGCTGTACAGTTGAAGAAGAAATGTGTGTAGTATGCATTTCAGTTTAGAAAACATTTGGGACTCTTTAGGACAAAAGATGCCTTAATAATGCAAGATATCTAATAAGATATGGAGCAAGTTACACTCAGGAAAAATTTGTTTCCTGGTCCACTCCTTTTAGACACTAATGTATGAATATCTAGTGTGTAGAACTAAAAAAACCTCCCAAATAGGGTGAAATGACCCCCTGCATTGGGGATCTGCAAAGACAGGCATGCCTTTCCCTCATGCTTTTTGGACAACTAGTTTAACTTAACAGAGTAACTACTTTGTCTGAAGATTTGTTAGTCCACCTTTTCTCTGTATGTCTCAAATCAGAGAGCAAAACTAAGACCATCAGTAGAGCAGGGAGGGTAAGAAAATGCAAGAGCTAGTGACTTCAGCCCAAAACTTGAAGCATGGCAAGATAAATAGAGAACCCTGAACTCTGGTAAATAAGGAGGGACTGAGTTTCAAATATTTTGTTTTTTATTGTGTTTTTATTTGGGTTGGTTTTGGTCTACATGGACCATAAAAGTTAAAAATGGAATAGATCTGATAAATCATATAAATGTAGGAGTTAGTCCCTGGCTGTGATGTATCATTCATAAGACTGAGATTAGATTAAAACTTAAATTGCCTCTTGTCCTGTGGTCTCTTCTTCCTGACCCCTGTGAAATAAAATCACAAACTCTCTATTCTACCTCCCAAGAAATATGACACTCCCCTGAATATGACACCACTTCTCACCCACCTGCCCTCTGTAGTTTGTGCTAGTTTTCTATCTGCATCTTCAACCATTTTTCTCCCCCCGCCCCCAAGAGAAGGAGATGTGAAAGCTTTCTGTTTCCTCCTGTTTGTCCTATGGGATGGAGGCATCATGCGCATCCACTCAGGAGGAAGTTGTTTGAACATCTCCTATTGTCCCCTGGGAGAGGGGACTCCAATCTCGACAACCCCTTTAACTGCAAACTTTGTCCTCTGCAATTTTATCCTTCAACAATTTTACCCTGTCTCTCCTCTATCCCTGAGGATGTTCACTCTGACTCCCACCCAAACTCCAGCCTTCTGTCTCTTCTATGTCTGTCCCTAGGACTCCATCTGTGTGAGTGATAGTTGAAATCCTTTTTCTTAGGGATATAATAGGGTTACTTCCCCCCATTCCTCTCACTCATATAACCAAAGCTATTCCCCAATTTAATCTTTCTTCCCCAGGGAAGTCTTTCCCCAGATACCTCTCTGCCCCTCCCATCTTTGCCTTGCTCCTTCTGGATCTTTCTGGATTCATACTGTGCTGCTCCATGTACCCCTGTAGACTGAGGACTCATCTGAACCTTGCTGGGTGATGGGAAGCTGCCTCCGGCTCTTACTTGGAATACAAGACCCTGTGTTCCATGCTACCTAACCCAAATGCTTCTCCAGTCTCTGCTGTTCCCAAGAAGGGATGATGCTGAGTCAGTGCGAGGAGACCAAACACAATAATAGGCCTGCAATATATCTATTCTATTACTGGTTTAAGAACTTAAACAGATTTTTAATTACAGTCTTGCTATGTCTGTCAAAAAAAAATCCAGTTTACTTTTAGAGTCAGAAAACCACTAAACCGTGTCCCCATGTGCAGCGTAACTACCACATGATCTTTACATGAGGACTGCATGATCCTTTGAGGTTCCGAGTGCCCTCAACTCTCACTGAAGCAAATGGGAGCTGAAGATGCTCAGCACTTTGTGTGATCAAGACTGTAGTAAGGCTCTCAGTTAAATCCTGATTTTACTCGTACAAATACATCAACTGTATTTAGTCGTCAATGATGACTAATAATTCCAGAACCATTTTCTTTGCTCTTGGTTTATAATTTGTAAATGTTACTTTATTACTGTTTTACAAAAGTAATAAGCAGTGTTGCAAGAAGGCTTCGTTTTGGCAAATTAAACCTGCAGTGGGATTTCTAATGCAGGCATTCGTCCTGTGGGATTACACATCATCGTTTTGTGGAATTATTTCTGACATTTCATCCGTCATACAGTCAGAATAACTAAACAAACTAGTGCTGTTCTCCTCTACTCAAAGAGCAACTTTTCGAGAGCCTTCCCACGGAAAAAATATAATGATTATTGCTATCAAATTATGCTTGCAGAAGCAGAAAGGAAAAAAATTCTACATAAGTAAAGGCAAAAGAGCTATTGTACACCAATAATGTATCTTGGGAATCATTTAAATAAATATATCAGGCCAGATCTTTAGCTGGCAAAAACTGGCAATGGAGATATGCCAGTTTACACCAGCTAAAGCCAGTTTTCACCAGCTAAGATTAGGTAAATGGAACCTAGGATTTGGACCCACTCTCATTGAAGTCAATGGCAAAATTCCCATTGAATTAAATAGGGACCCCAAATGACTACTTTTTGTCTTTTGTTTAAACAAATTCCATTTTTAAACCGTGAGAGAGATAAATAGGTTATCAACACAGCTTCTCATACTCTGTATTTACCAGGTCTTTCTTAAAATATAGAATACATGTCTTGGAGGCCAACTTGTTTATTTCAACCATGTCACTCCAGGAAAAATATGATCTAAACTACATTAGCTGTGATGTTTAAATACCAGAGCATCGGTGAATGAAAAGTGCAGTGTAGCTCATTATTAGTGTATAATGCCTTCTTAATCTATATTAAAAAAACATACATCCAATAGGCCTCAGATTGGTTTCCCCACTCTGTAGAGATCTCCAAGGATATATATCGCAATTACATGAGTTATTTTTTGCCCTTTAATAACTAATATAATGTGCTTTGAAGTAATGTGGTCTCACACTGAAATCTATAATCAGACACCTAAACTAACAGAAAAGGTAAAACCGTCACAAAAGAGAATTTGGAGACGGAAGTATATAATCAGATAAAGGAGAAGAAAGTTTTGAAAAGGATTGCAGAGGAGTAACAGGAGGTATTACTAGTGTGTTTCTTACTTCATTGTTGTTTTCTTTTAGTAAAAGTTCTATCAGCTGGGGAGAGTTGCTCTCCTCTTTGAAGCTAGCTCTTGTTTCTCTGAAATCAGATTCCTTATTCCCAGGGCTCCACTCTGCAATGCCAGCACAAACATACACCAGCAGCTG